ACTCATCATTAAATCCAAGCGACGGACGATTGTTTGTTTGGGTGGATGCCGAGTTTAATGGTTTATGTACCAAATCCATTGGACACACGAGCTGCATGTGCCGATTCCAGTGGATCGCGTACCAAATACGTGGACGCAAATGCAAATCCATTGGATGCATGAGCCAATCAATTGAAAATTTGTCTGTTTCAATAGAAAAAAGGTGTAGTAACCATCAACGTTAATGGTACTGTACGTCGACCATTCTTGGGCGAGCTAATGCTGACATTACGAAGCCCAACGTGACGAAAAGCTAGCTTCAAGTTATACGTATAATAATAGCAGACTTGGAGCTTCTCGTGCAAAATATAGCATGATGACATCCAGAACACCATTGTCGCTTTGGGAACTGACTGTAAACCAGTTCCACAACACCGACAGGTTCGTACAGTCAAAATGAACTAAATGCGTGAATAAATTGAGAATTATGTTGTGCAGCTAGCAGTCTAACGTAAGGTAGTTCACCACGTCAGCCAGCCAGCGTGCGTGCCGCCGGCCTTGAAGGTACACACAACACTAAAGACGACCATGAACAGCCACACGCTGTCGTTGAGGCGGCCGTTGTGGATCGGAGTGCAATGATGCTTCAGTCCTTCGACGAGCTTCTTCCACGAGGACTTGCCGCCCAACACGACCCACAAGGCGGCAGCCGCGGCTATGCGCCAGCGATCGATCCACGCGAGACGCAACATGCACAGGGAAAACACGAGCCACACCAGAACCTGGACCAGGGTGAACGCAACGGCAACGACCATCGTAGCGGTGGTCCAAGCAGCAGAGCGCAACATGATGGAGTTGCGTTTGGAGGGCGAGCACTGCAACTGTGAGAATGAGGCCGTGGCGACGATCACCATGTCCAGAACACGGCAGTTTCGGGAGTTTCAGAATCGGTTTCAGAATCGAGCGCACACCTCGTCGCAGGAACACTAATCAGGTATAACACCCACCCTACTCTACAGAGAACCCCGGAAATGTCCGACCCCCCCAAAATATCCGACCACCTGTCTAAATTGATGTAATTTTATTCATCGTCGACGCACCTTTGAAATTAAATTTATCCATCACGAAGCAGTATTAATGCAAGTTTATGATTG